ATACAAAAATGTAAAGGGTGCCCTATATTATAAATATATGAAATAGTATCCTTGTCTTGAGTGAAATTTCTTAAAGCAAATTTTTGAATGATTGATTCAGTATATTGATATGCTTCCATCACTGTAAATAATTGATGAACTCTTATAGGGGTTTCTACAAATCAGTAGCTCTGAAATTTTTAGATAAAAAACATTCTTTAATTCTATACAGAATAATTTTTATGTATTATAAAATGTGATACCTTATGGACTCTCATTAGAGCAAAGAATCAGAAATCTTAAAGAGATTTTTTTATGTGTGTATACGAGCTAAGGACAGCAGTCCTATATTTAAAATTTATCTAAAAAAAGCAATCTTCAGGTATGTAATTACTGTATTTTTCAAACCATAAGACACACCTAGGTTTTAGAGGAGGAAAATAGGAAAAAAATTTTGAAGCAAAAAATGTGGTAAAATATTGAATAACATAAATAACATAATATTTCATCAATGTAAATGTAAAGCTACATTTGGACTATAAGATGCACCCCCATTTCCCTCCCAAATTTGGGGCGAATGCGTCTTATAGTCCGAAAAATACGGTAGGTTGTTCAAATTCTGGTCATACATTTAAACATACTCTAAGGTAAGAGAAGCAGTTTTAAGTGAATGAGAAGGATACTATAACTCTACTTTTGATGTGTGGCTTTTTGATTGTTATTTTAGTGGATATTGATGAACACACTTGATCTCAGATTTGTCTTAATTCTGATTCTTAATTATTCTCTTAATTGTTCTATTATCACCATTTGAATTTTACATATTTTGGTGGACTTTCATGAAAATATAGTTATGGTTGCTACCATAATTATATATATATGTATATATTTTTGATACAAATTAGAAGCTTTTGAATGGACTGTGAATGTACCCTCAATATATCCTTGGACCGTGTTTGTGAAGCATTTCCTGCATGCACACAGCTGTAATATAAATAGCAAGTGTCTTCTGTGGTTTCAGATAGTCCCATTTGAAGACATTGGAACTCCCATGAGGCCATAGGAATTTCCATTTCAAGAAGTAAAGCTAATAAAGACAAACTTGAATTACCCTAATATTACTCATTTTTATCTTGGTGGCTTTCAAAGTGACTTGCCGCTTTGCAGAGAGAGGAGAGGCTAACAGATGGCAAACCTGTCAGCTGCAGCCCCTGCTTTTGCCCCCAGTGTCATTACATGGGTCACTGTATTAGTGTTTAAAGCCCTGTCCCCAGTGCTAACCCCCCTGGGGATTTTGTGGTCCTACTAATTAGAAATTGACCGTCTTTGTGTCTAAGCATGCTATGAGCCTTTTATTTTGAAAGGACATACTATGATAACACTAGACATCACCAGTACTAGTCAGTATATTCATTGGTTAATCCTTTCTGAAGAGAGTAATAGTGTAAGTGAGAAAATCAGCTCTGTGAAAGGACTGTGCTGAAGTAACATAATTAGTAATTTGTACTGATTATAGTGATTTTTTTCTTGTAGGCTATTGTTTCATATGTCCATTGAAAGTAATAATTTCCTCTTTGCCACTAAAAAAACTGTTAAAAAGATTAGAAGTTCCAAATTTTCCACGTGGAGGCGAGAATTAATAGAATATAAAAATATTTAATTTATGTATTTATTTTCTTTATAGATATTCTGGACCAAGATTCTAGCTAGAAAGTAAACCTTTATTTATTAATTATTTTGTTAGTAAGCCTTTAAAATGACAAAACAAGTCTATGCTAGATCTAAAGGAAGTTATCAGTTGCTGTACAAAAAAATGTGTTGTGAACAGTTTCCACATTTCATATCTTTGAAAGTTGACTCCATCTTGGATCTTGGCCATTTGTTCATGAAAATACAAGAAAAATATTAGTGTGGATATATTTCATGGACTCCTAGCATTAGGGAGGCCTTAGAGATTATATAACCTAATTTCTTCAAGTTTTAGATGAAGAAACTGATACCCAGAGAGGCTTAGTGACCCGCTGAAGGTCACAAATTTGTAGAACTGGGATTTTATTACAGACCTCTTTAACCTGTACCATGTGTCTTGAATTCAGTATTAATGTAAAACTAAGACTCTAGGTATCTGTTATATCATGAGACCATTTCATTTAATATTTACATTAATTATGTTTAGGTTTCTCTCCCCCATTAGGACATAGTGTGTGTGTGTGTGTGTGTGTGTGTGTGTGTGTGTGTGTGTGTTGTATTGTTTTGCAACTATGCAAGGGTATGAGTGAATTTTTGCACTTAAAACTTTTTAGAATAATAAGAAAAAAGTGTCAGCAACTCTGTCTTTGTATCTGTTAGTCTCTAGAAACAGGGAAAATGGCATGTAAGTTGGTGTGTGCAAATGTGAAGTAAAGTATAATTAAGTTGCACTTGTGGAATAATGAGTCCTGAGTAAGTAGGAGCTCTGGGAACTGAAGTTCATTCATAGATTGTTTTCTAGATCTAAGTACCCAGTGTACCCTTCTGCCAGTAATGTTTACAAGCGACTACACATCATCTGGAAATATATAGGAAACAAAACAGAAAGCATTTTTCTACCTTTATACAAAATTATAGTACATGAAATATTGAAAGTAATGGAACTCTTCTCCATTTTTCAGATTCTACAATTTATTCCTTTAGCTTGCTGATAGACTATATCCATTATATACACGGTTTGTTTTTAAGGCAAAAGTTTCAAGATGTTCTAGAACGCTTGAATTATCTTTTAAAACCAGTGTCCCTGTGCATAAAATACCAACCTAACGATAAGAAATTTTGGATTCCACTACTGCCTTTCCCCTTCCTGCACTGCTAGGAATATAGTAGTAGGCACTTGATAGTGCTTATTTCAATTTACTGTGACCTTCTCACCTTGTGCTTGTTTCAGATCCCCAAACTGTGAACTGGAAGAACACCCATTCCTTGCCTACTCCTGCAGGGCGTTATTTTCAGTGTTTAATATGTCGAGCTGCTTTAGAAAAGTAGGATGATTATATAAGCAATGCACATTCATATTATAAGAAGGAAACTAGTCTTTTGTCAGTATTTCCTTATTTCTTTAGGGTACCGAAATCTTGTGGCCACTTAAGCAAGCCCATTTAGTATTCGCCTGCAATAGAAACAGACAAATACTAAGGCTGCTGTATAATGCAGGTTAATTCTTTTTCTTCCCTTCAGCTACTCCATCAACTACTAATAGTTGGAGTAATAGTTGGAAATGGAGTAATTTCTCCATCAACTACTTTCACCTAACTAAAAGGAAAAAGTAACTACAATGCTGCCCTGACCAATATGGCTCAGTTGGTTGGAGCATCGTCCCATAGGCCAGGTGGGGTTGTAGGTTCGATTCCCGGTTGGGCCGTATGTCTGGTGTGTGGGTTTGATCCCCAGTTGGGGCATGTGCGAGAGGCGGCTGATCAATGTTTCTGACATCGATTTTTGAAACAAACAAAAATAGTAATAAAATACAGTAACTACAATGCTCAACTTGTTCAGTAACCTAATCTTTTTTTCTCTCATTAAATTTCTCTAAGTGACATTAGTCTTAAGTATACATTGGCATCTATTCATTCAAATTAATAGTTACAGTTACACTAACACATAATGATATTTATTGTAACAATTAATAAAAGCTAACATTTTTGAATGCCTGCTGTGTGCCAAAGGGTTAAGGTTTAGAGCTAAACTTATTTTTGGGACAAGGGCATGAATTTTGGTAGTGAAACGGAGCTGATCATGTCATTGAGAATTTGTTGGCGTGTTGGGTGATTGGCTGTGTTGCGTAGTTTCCCATGGTGAGATGATGGAATTGTGGTGTTTGACGAATGTTTGGCAGCTCTTTTCTGTTGCCTACCAGGTGGGTTTATATTAGCCTTCCTATATCATTATACCTGCATTTTTATAGCCTTCATTCTTTGAATCGGCTTGAATCTTCTTAAATGGTGGCATGCTATTGATTATTGCAGGCAGAGTGATATGAGGTCTAAACAATATGAGAATTCATGTTTTTTAAAGAGCAGTTGCACTTTTTAATATTGTGTTACAAATTTTCAATTTCTACCATCAAGGAGTATTGCATGTATATGTTTCTGGTGCTATACAAATGATTGGTTCCTTTAAGAACTTAAAATCTAGGAGGTTTGGGGAAGGATGAAGAGGGTCAAGGGGGTCAAGTATATGGCGATGGAAAGAGATTAGACTTGGGTGTTGAGCACACAATGGAATATGCAATATAGGGATGATGTGTTATAAAGTTGTACACCTAAAATGTATGCAATGCTCTTCACCAGTGTTACCCCAATAAATTTAATTAAAAAATCTAAAGTATCTAAAGGGATTACTATCAGTAAACTTCTGTTTTTTAAAATAATTACATTTATATTAAACAAACCCTAGGTATTGGACAAATAGCAAAAAGATTTAGACAAGTTTCTCTGTGAGTACAATGAGAAAGAGAGAATATTGGCTATGGACTCTGAGAAACAATTTTTAGAATTTGTTTTGGGTGAAAAATCATTTTATGTTTTACTTGATAAGAAGAGGGACATGCAAGTAAGAGTCATACATATCAAAATTCTTAAAGAGTTAATCTGAGATAAATATGAAGAAGCTTACATGGTTTGTTTGAAATCTCCAACTTCTCTTTCAGAGATTGATTTCATTTATTTATAATGGTTTCCTAGTTCCTCCCTTAGACTGTAGATTGAAATGTATTGCCCTTTACAAATCAGTTATAATCTTACTATATAATGCTTTGGGGAAGCATAATATGTTAAGATATAGGACTACAGAACTTTCTTTTTCTTTCAAGATTTACAGGAGGAGGAAAGGGACTAGTCTTGCCTTTGGAATGGATCTGAAACAAAGCTAATAAACTTGGATTTAATTAATTTGGGTGATGAAAAGTACACAGAATCGAATGAGAGCTGGTGCTTGGCTTCTCTGACATGGGTCACTCACTACTGTCCCCGCCCCTCTGCCTCCCACAGGAAACCAGTTTCCGCCAATTGCAGCACAAGACCTGCCTTTCGTCTTAAAGGCCGGCTACCTGGAGAAACGCAGGAAAGGTAAACTGTCAGATTCTAATGGAAAATCCAGAAACGGTTGTACCCTTGGATAGAACATGCTTGCAGTATGCGTTGTGGGAGCAGTGCTCTCTTCGGGTGATTGAAGAGTTGTACGGCTCTGAGAAAATCTGGATGGCATTATCCAAACCAAAAAAAGTAACTTTTAGCTCCAAATAATTTTTAGAATGAAACATTTGGTGAGGGTTCTAGTGATCAACGTCAGTTATTTGTACATCATTCAGAAGCTGTATCCTGCCTCTCAGAGGAGGGTCGGAGGGCCAGGACTCTAATCTCAGGGGCGGGACTTCGCACCATCATCTGACCCCACCAGCAGCAGGTGACCCTGTGCCTGACCTGACTGTGCTCTGGTCCAGCCCGAGCCCGGCGTACTTTCTGCCATCTTCTGTTATTCATTCAGCATTCCTGTCCACGGCTTTGATAATAGGGAGTCGACCATATGGTCCCACTCTTTCAACACCGATATGTAATGGAAATGAAATACGGAGGTGGTGTTATGATATGGGAAATGAAGGGCAGAAAGTGTCTTCATTTCCATGCTGCCTATCTCTCAGGGAGTCCCTCTAGGCCTTTCTATTTATATTCCACGTGCTTTTCGTAGCTTTCGTAGTTGAAGTTGAAAGCTGAAAGAGATAACAGAAACAATCTAGGTCAACTCCTCCCCCCTCCTTTTCATAACAGATGAGAAAGTAAGACCCAGAAGAGTCACTTACCTCCAGGCTGTGTAGTCAAACGCTGTTTTGCCCGTCCCTGCCAGGCACGTTAGTGGTGCTGCGATCCTGTAAAGGTAGCAGCTCCGTCTCTGCTTCACTTCATCCTTTTTAGCTTTGTTTTCGTCTCTTGGAAAAGGAGATACAAACGAATTAGTCCTAGAATTGTAAAGCTAAAAAAGGAACCTTGGAAATCGTATTAACTAACCGTATCCTTTTACAATAAAGAAATGGTGTTGTGTTTACACATGTGACGTGTGTTACCTAAACTGTACCCTTTCCCCCTTTGTTGCAGATCACAGCTTTCTGGGGTTCGAATGGCAAAAACGGTGGTGCGCCCTCAGTAAAGGAGTGTTCTACTATTACGGAAGTGACAAAGGTAGTGCTGGTGTTCAGTCCTCTCAACTTCTGTTGCCGGAGGGTGTGAGAGCCGTTTTTCACCCCCCTTTTTTTGGTACAGAGTAAACTGAAGACAGATGGAGAAAGTATAACTGAGAACTTCAAAAATTATTGCCTAAGACTGATGTATAATTCAATTTCATTATTTGACAAATTCTTCAAATTCTAGAATGCCCTAAAAAGTTAATACAATTATGTTTTATTGAATTAGGAAAGAAGATAAAATAACTTTTGCCTATGTGGCCTTTCACCTTAGGAAATATTTATCATCAGAATCTCTGTGAAGTTAAGACCATTAGGATTGTGAAAGTTTGGCTGTCTAGGCACTTCAGCTCTATTATCTTGCCTAGCTACAATTCTGTGTGGTAAGGTGGTATTATTAGCCCCACTTATTTTACTGTTTGGAAAACTGAGAACAGAGAGGTTAAGTAAGTTGCTCACGGTCACAGAGCTGGTAAATGGCAGATCTGGGTTTTGAACCTAAGCAGAATGGTTAGAGTCCATACTGTTAACCCTCATTGTCACTATATTAACTTAGAAACAATGAGATATATTTTATAATTAATTCCATTTGCTAACTAACAAATCTCTTAGTCATAGTTCATATAATTTTCAGTTCATTATTTGAACAAATAAAGTCATTGTAAAATATTGAACTTTAAAGGATGTAAGCTTTTTTAGTTTTGATTTTTTTCTAGGAAAAGGTCAGAAGTTACATATTGTAAAGTAAGTGAGATATAGAAATAACTAGCATTCATGTCCTTAAAGGACACTTAAAGAGAAAAAAGACATACAAGTTCAATATCACAGAATCTAAGCTCTCCTGTGGAATTCTTATCAGTATTGTTACTTATCAGTTGTTGTTTGGACATTTATGTTTTATTTGACATTATTTGCAGATTTTAGGGGTTTTTTTTTTCTTATAAACTTGGGTAGATACGTTGAGTGTGTTTCACATAGACCTGAAAAACATGCATGATGCTGGGAGTTGATCTGGCGTTTTGGCCATTTGGTAGCTTGTATTCTGTCACTAATTTACAGTATGTTCAAATGTAATAATGGTATCGGCGAAGTGTAAACTATAAACAACCATAATCAGGTAGCCTTCTTTCTTCTGCTAAGGGTAAGTAGGTGATTTTGTCTGGAAATTTAGAGTCCAAGTTCAGTTAGAATTTTCACAGGTCATTAGTATGTGTTGCTATTACAGAAATCTAATTTTGTACTGCTTTGTGAACTGAGATGAAGATCTTACTTTTCTGTAAAGAAATATCCTCAATTTCATAAGATCAGAGGAAGGAGGTTTTAAAACCTTGTGACTTTTATTCAGTTAGGCTTCTCGTTTCCGTTTCCGATTTCTTTAAGAATCAGTGCTTGCTAATGTCTGTTTCCTCCACTCCCAGTCCCAACTGGCGTACCCACTGTTAGGTCAACGATTAGCGAGAGTTTTCCAGAAACCTTATCAGTGTTTGTATCTATTTCAAAGTGATACTCACTAAATAACTTCTAGGAGCTTTTGGGGGATGTTGATTTGTTACATTCCCATTTCTAGTCTTACTTGATGAGACCTTTTAGTTACAAACTCCTTGCAGTTTGTGTTTTAACTGCTTAGTGATCCATTTAGCCAACTCTGCCACCAACGGCTATTTAAAAATTACCATTCTAGCATTTGTTCTTTATGTGACATGTTAAGGTCTGGTTTATATTTCTTTAAACTCTTTCTGATCTGTTACTATAAAGCCTCCTCTTTCCATGGAGATTTCATATCTGCTTTTAGGGCTTCTTTTCTCCGTGGCTGCTGCTTCCTTTGGAATTCTCGGCCAGCTCTCCTTTTAGGGACGTGGGGGAAAATATATCTTTAGACAGTTTTAATTGCTTGCTTGTCATGATCTTAATTTCCTTCCTTTGTATCTCTTTCTTTCCAGGAAAATTTATGTGTCACATGAAATTTTTATTTTCTTTTGCGAAATTGGATAACTAATTCGTGCAGTCTTATTTACCTTATGTGTGAACCATTTACCTAAACTTTTGAAAGCTATTTAGATATATGAGAACTATAATCCTCCAACTGAGTGGGATTTAGATAAATGGATTATAGAGGCACAGAAGGAGTTGATACCACTTACTAGGTTAAACTGTACTTTGTTACTGTTTGACAGATAACATAGTTCATATTTTCTAACATTCTGTGTGTGCCAAAAACCATTTTGACCCATCAAGACAGTAATGGCTTACAAAGAGTAGTTCCAGCCTCTGGGGTAAATAATGCACTTACCTTTGCACCCATAAATATTATCTGTATTTATTATTCATGGCCATTTGGGGCCCTTAAGTAATAAATATAGAGAGAGTACATATTTTTTCACTTCATAAAATTACATCCATCCTTTCATCTCCTTCCTCTTCCTTTGATTGTTTGACTCTCATTCATCAAACTTGTTTGGTTCTAGATGCTGAGACTGCCTTCAAGGTAGTCATTCATTTACTCATTCATTCATTTATTTATTTTTATTTGCTAAACATCTATTGGATACTAGGCCCTGGGAATCCAAAGATAATCCTGCTTTAGAGGTACTCACAGTTTAAGTAAGAAGAAGAGAGGAAGTTGTAGGATTGCAGGTGGGGGCTGGGTGGATAAACCAATCATTTCCACCAGGCATAGTAAGTGATTTAAATAAAATATCTTTGGATCACAAAGGAGGGGTGGCCAACTGCCCAGGGGAGTTAGGGAATACTTCCAAGTGGAGAGGACACTGGGTCTTAAATAATGAGGGGGAGTTTGCCGGGTGACGAGAGGTAAAATGGGTGTTCCAGGCAGGGGGACAGCAGAGATTCTGACTAGCAAAAAGCCTTGGATGAGATCAAAGCTGACTCAAGACTGAGCATAATGAAGTGAGGGGGAGGGGACCCATGAGGCCAAAGGAGTGGGCTAGGATCTGATTAAGAACAGGGCTTAATGGCCAGAGTTAGTTTTTAGGAAGTCAGTGTAATGGCATCACGGAGGGTGGATTACAATGGGCAGAGGCTGGGTCCACAGGATTGATTGTTCAGGGGGATACTGGACTAGTGGAGCCAGAAAGGCCGTCGCGGGCCTGCTGCTGGGAGGCCCCATCGCAGGTCAGGGCGGACCTCTCCGGCTGCACTGCACGCTCTTCCCGCAGCTCAGTTACCGTCAGCCCCTCGGACAGCCTGCCTGTGAGGGCGGCGCCCGTGGGGGCCTGTTCCAAACTCACGTTTCATTTTGCTTTCCCCTTTTTCTTTTTAACCTCCCTATGACCTCGAATCAGCATTGTGGACCTTTCTTATCTCTCCCCGCTTCTGCAAGGGGAGAGGTTACTTTGTAGTATTCTCTTTTCTTCCTACTCCAGAGGTTCTGCTGTCCTTACTGCCATTCTCCAGTTAGAGGAAACCTTAGCACCATCCAGTGCGTGGCAGCCGTAGGCAGCCTTGGTCCTATCAGATCATCCTAAATGTATGTCAGAAGTCATTGATTACATCAGGGGGCTGTAATTTTTTCAGTGTTGTATCTTTTTAATATATAATAAAAGTCATTAGAAAATTGGGCTTAATACAGATAATTTAAATAAAACTTTTAGGTTGGTAAGGCAATACAATTTTTCATTGAAATTGACCTCTGCTCTCTCCTCTGCAGCCTCACCACTGGTAGGAAAAATAGGATATATCTATTCAGTCTGGATGAAAATGAAAAAGTGCCTTTTGATGCTGAAATAGCATCATAGTCCTCATTGAATATTTTAAAAATATTGTTAAAGAACAGAGTGTTTGTACAGTTGGAAGCTCTGTTGTTTTATAACAGCAACTTAAGTAATAGCCATAAAAGCTTGCCTTTCTTTCCTGATTCGTTTGATAGAGGCATATCCCCGGGTCAGGGCATCAGCATTTTATAATTGTATAATGATTAGGTATAATATATATCAATGAACTCATTTTTTAAAATTTATATTATAGTTTTGTTTGTGTAAAGAAGGATAATACTTTTGTTACTTTTTAAGAAAGGGGGGATACTTAATTCTATTTTTTATCAAGCGATTGCAATTTTATAGGTTTTGGGGCCTTTGATATACAAATACCAAGTTTACAGTTTATCACAATACATGTTAAATGAAAGGCCTGTATTTGCTGCCTTTATAGAGACCTTGTAACAGTATAGAGAAGTTAAAATGTACATCTGCTATTTAGTAGGATTTCATCAACATGTAGAATTGCTCAGATGCAAACTAAGGCTTGTGAAGGGTCTGATGATGACAGATCATGTTGGTTTGCAATAAAATACAGCACAATTTGATTTAAAATACATCTACACCCATATATAGGTTGAAGATATGTAGAGATTGAAGGTAGATGTATTTTAAATCAAACTGTGCACTGCTATAACTATTATATAGATATAGATATATGGATGTTGCTTTATCTATCTGTGTATATATAAATGGATAAAGCAACATCCCTACCAGCAGTCCTTCTTTGAAAACCTATGTGGCAAGTATTATTAATACAAAGTGGCATAATACATTCGCTCACAGGAGTGGGCACAGAGGACCCATAAAACATTATGATATGCGAGAGCCGGCTCACAGGGCAGTAGGTGAGTGACGGCTGTGAGCCAGGAAGGGGTGGGGGCAGGCTGTTTCACGTCACGAGTTTGGCCCTTCCTGTCTGAGGGCCAGTTACTGTGTGTAAGCACTGGAGGTAAGTAGATGGCATGAAAAGCTGATTGGATGTTTATTTTTTTTAAAGATTTTTTATTTATTTATTTTTAGAGAGAGAAGTGGGGAGGGAGAAAGAGAGAGAGAATCATCAATGCGAGGTTGCTGGGGGTCATGGCCTGCAACCCAGGCATGTGCCCTGACTGGGAATCGAACCTGCGACACTTTGGTTCGCAGCCTGCGCTCAATCCACTGAGCTATGCCAGCCAGGGCAGATGTTTATTTTAAATTGCAGTAAAAAACCATTTTATCTGTT